GATAAAGTTCTGCTGTTTTTTTTTAACTCAATCAAGCTCATAATACATTTATAGTCCCGCTGCAGTCTATTATTTCTTACAGTGCTTACACAACAGCTGTCAAAATGTACAGTATATGTCTATCTTTTGCTGTTTTGCCCCTGGGACATTTCGTTGTTTGCTTGTCCTGAACTTATACTATTTGATTAAACTGATAATCTGATAAGTTAGCCTATATTTCGCCGTGTAGACAAGATTACCGTTTTTTCCAAATATTTTAGTTGATAAGGTCGATGAAAAACGCATATTTAACACATTTAGAATAAACTAAACACTCGCCGGTTACTCGAATAGTTTTGGTGACGAGCTCAAACGCTGTATCTGCAGATAGAAAACAACCGTAACGTTGGATACTAGCAAAATTAATTACATATTTTAGAAGATGACAACGGTGTATTTGTGATACCATTTAGCCTTGCAGCGACCGTAATTCATCTCATGAACATGACGTTCTCCGAGCTCAAAACCAATATCACTTAAGTTTAAGACTGGTATATTCGTAAAACGACAAAACAATGCAGTTATTCAGTTATACGAATTATACTCACGCTTGCCGTCTGGCTATTATTCGATGCATAGGGGTCGCCATGATGGAGGTTACTTTTACTTCTTCATTGGTAACTGCTTAGTAGTTATTTCCCGCAAACCTGATAAATGTAGCGCTCCCTGCTGGTAAGAAGCATCTGCTACAACTTTCTAATTTATGAATGACAGTCAATGCATTCTTAACACAGTTAACTGACCTAAACTTTAACCAGTATATTTCTTTATTCTAGGGTATATTTTTCAGGTTGTATGCTTTATGTTGTTGTTGCCATAAACTGTACTAAATTAAAAAGGTGTTTATGTCATCAAACCCATGAACACTTAGAGTCAAAATATGAGAAACCTTTGTTAACTTGTGTTAGCTAGTGTTATGTTTCCACTATACAATGAACATACAGATAGAGCTAATCACTTCCAATCAATCACACCAATCAATTTTTGTCCTTTTGTTCTTAATTAGAGGAGGTGTGTGGGGAAAGGGAAGTCTGGGAGGCTGCTTGGACTACTGTCCCTGCGACCCGGTTTTGGATAAAGCGGACAAAGATGGATGGATGGATGTTCTTAATTTTATTTTCATATATTCAGATACAGTTGCTGGAGTTGATCATTTGTTTAGCCTATCTGTGTCTCCAATGCAATGCACCCTCCCACCATTCAACTGTCATTACACTCACCTACTACTTTTTCTCAGACATTTACATGTCATCACTTTTCTCATTTATGTTAAACAGTATTCTAATCCCACCAATAAAACATTACTGAAATGCATATGAAGTTTCACATAATAATGCAATAAATAAACTGTCAAAAACAAATGTAGGCTAGATGTGGTTAGTGTGTAGTAGGCTTGTAATATATTACTTCATACTTTCAGCAGGCTTTTGGAGTGTATTTTTGTTTCCAACCTTCAGCTGAGCTCAAACAAAATAATCAGTCTTTGATTTATTTATGTATTTGTGCTTTCAAAATAAGTAATAAGCCCTGTAGCGATCTGGAAAGTGTTAGAAAGGTCAAGACATTTCCACCAAAGCCTCGAGTATTGGAGCGTCCTCCTTCACGCTTACATAGAAAGGTCCAGAGAAATCTAGAACTACCAAATCTCGCGATACATCCCGACGAGAAATCAGTAAGACCACTTTGCTTTTGCAGCTTGCCAGTACAGATCAGAGACACCGGTAACAGACAGCAGTGTGGATTATGACTAGAAGTAATCGTACTTAAGGCTAACTCAGCGCATCTGAAGTTGCTGCTTTGCTTGGTTTTCACATTCTTTAAAAATTGTAGATATATATTTGTTATATTTTTCATTATTGTATTGTCGATAAGGTTAAAGCGACAAGACGGACGCTGAAGATGTCAGTGGTGGGATTTGACTTGGGTTTTCAAAGCTGCTATGTAGCTGTAGCCCGAGCCGGGGGAATCGAGACAATTGCTAACGAGTACAGCGATAGATGTACACCGTAAGTATCTAATACTAAAACTTGTGTAATATTTACTGGAGTTCTGAGGGAGCAGCTACAGTAGAGAGAGGCTCGGTATTGGGGTAATTAATGTAAGTTAACATTAATGCACATGAATACAGTTTTACTGAGAAGCTACCTACTAGCTAAACTTGTGTTTTTGTGTGCTGTGTTGGGTAACTTAATTAATCAGTGTTTTAGTATGGGCAAATTCATGAAATATTTGGTAATAATTACAATGGCAAGGGGCAAACCATTCATCTACAACTCACACAGCTCCTTCGCCCATCCATTAGCCAGTTAGCCAAATACAGTTTTTACTAACGTTACTGTGCTGTTTGATAACAGTTTGATAATTAAGTTGCTCGGTAAACAGGCGGTGTTTCTCCCTAGCTACAGTTACTGTTGTTCTTCTCTGGAAGGGGATGTTTCCGACCAACCGGTGTGCCTCGTGTAGCAAAGTGTGCATCTTGCGTTGTTCTCGACGATGACGACAGCAGCCAGTTGCTTGTCGGAATATTCTAGCAGTTTTTGTTGTGCCTTTTAAGAGTTTTGTGATTTATCCTTCAGATAAAGCAGTTAAACTCTAAACACAGAATTTATTCAAAACTTGTCGCCCTCAATTTGCTTTTTTTGTTTGCATATTTACTCAAATACAGCTAATTTGTCTGACACGGCACACCGTGTTCTCAATTTGTAGGCCCTGTCATTTGATCAAATTAATAATAATATTATTGACTTTCATGGGGTGACGTTACCTTAGCGCCCTATGTAAAATGTTGACTTCTCTGCAGGTGCTATTGAGATGACTTCTACATTAAAGATTTCTTTGGATTGGTGTTGCCTTATCTCAATTGAGCTTTTTCTCAAGATTTGTTTTTTAAGTCTTGCAGAATTCTGAGAAATGTTAAAATGCATTAAATCAATTCAAGCCATATTAAAAAAGCGATAAGTGCATTACACTGTTTCGGAGTAAACTTAACAGGTATAAAGAAAAACAATCAGTGTATCAATTTCGTGAACTATGGGGGGAATAAAGACAAGGTCAAAAATAGGCAGTTTGTATACATTTTAGTAAGGTGGTGACTAATGATAGTTATTTTCATTATTGTGCCACAGATTTTTCTGATAAATAGTTCAAACCCACAAATATTTATTTGCAGTTATATATTATATAATGGAGAAAAACTGAAAATCCTTACTAGGGTTGGAACAAGTAGATTTTTTTGGCATTTTAGCCTTATAAAGACCAACAGATTATTTGATAATGAAGAAAGTTGGCAGTTAAATTACTGTTGATCAACTACAGGACTAATATCCGCTTTACCTTCTTGCACTTTGCACTAATGAACAAAACACAATCTGTCCAAAAAAACTGTATTTCATACAAAACTGAATAGTCGTTTCGTTTCCGGTACATATATAATAAATATGTCTAATACTGTTATACACCCACTCATATGATATCTTGGTAAAGTTTTTGATTTCCCCTGTGACACACAAAAAAAAGTATTTTTCTACATTGTGAAAGATTTCGCGTTTACATTTACTACTGTTCCAAAGAAAATGGCTTTAAAAAGCTAAAACATCAGGTCATGGACACCATGGAATAACTAAACTGACAAATCTGTCTAGATTTCAGGTGTATTCACAAACAGCTAAAGGGTTTACACTGCTTGCTCGAAAGTATGTCCGGTTTTAGCTCAAGACTTTTTTTTTTTTTTCTCTTTTCATTGTCTTCCAGATCATTTGTATCATTTGGACCACGAAACCGATCAGTAGGAGCAGCTGCAAAGATCCAGGTAAAACCAATTCAGTGACCATGCTATGATCCTCAGAGGTCCTTATAATTAAATGCAAAACAATTGAAATACAACAAGGTTAATTGTCTTTATTCAAACTTCATTTTGTCCTCTTGCTCCTCATTCATCATATCCAGGTGGTGACCAACTATAAGAACACAGTGCAGGGCTTCAAGCACTTCCATGGCAGGGCCTTCTCAGACCCCTACGTCCAGGCAGCCAAGTCTAACTTGGTGTACAGCCTGGCACAGACGCCCTCAGGAGCCACTGGTATAAAGGTAAGGAATATGAATTTGGCTTCTTCTTTATTTGAGACTATATAAATTTAAATAAATAGATAAATAGTAGGATGAAGGATAAAAAGACGCAGTTACTGTATAACAGAATGACAAAGTAAGAATTGAGTTAGCATACTGAATAACTGGGTGCTGACCTGAATTTTTCAGCAGTTCTATACACTGAACTAGGTCAGTGAAGATTCAGAAGGACAGCTATAAGAAAGCATGGAAAATGCAACGGCTTACTCCTGAGTGGTTCTTCCACTGTTACCTTATGTGTCTCATGTAATGCTCTTTCCTCTAAATCTTAGCTCTGCTACTTTATGTTTCCATTCTACCCAGTCATATTTATGCATTATATTATTGTTATACGTTTTGAAGCCGTCCCTGGTAGGCTAGTGGTTAAGGCGCAGCGCTCTTGCCGCTGCGGCCTGGGTTCAAGCCAGGGTTATGTTAGGAAGGGCATCCGGCATAAAACACATACCAAATGTCAACATGCAAGTCGTCAGTGTGACGATTCGCTGTGGCGACCCCTAAAAACGGGAAACTGTCTTTCTTTCTTTCTGTTATTGTTATACTTTTTTTAATGGTATTTTGTCTCTTATGACATTTTGTGGTTAAAAATGATCATTTTATTATCTCTCAAAACCTTGCACATTTCAGAACTTGTGAAAAATTTCATTTGGAGCCATCACATAGCTAGTGTAAGATGCAAAACATACCCAGTTACAGTGCCAGGCTTGCAAATGCACACCTGCATGTTTCTGTGGCCCTGTGGAGATGATTAATGTGAGTGAAATGCCAAATCAGAGAAGATTGCATCCACATGTAGCTGTGCAAAAAAAAAAATTCCTTCTCCTGCATTAGGAGTTTTCTGAGTTCCAATTTACATATTTTATTACATTATTGACTTATTTCACTATGTTCTTGTGTAGACTTCTTAGATGAGTTTTGAGTTAAAATGCTGTCAGTTAAACTGTGGTGGTGTCATTTCATTATCAATGAAATACATGTATTATTTATAGCTGTTTTAAAGATATTTATAAGTTATTTAAATGTCTGTCTCAATTCTCATCAACTCCAGGTGATGTATATGGAGGAGGAGCGAGTGTTCAGCATTGAGCAGGTCACCGGCATGCTGCTGACCAAGCTGAAGGAGACTGCTGAAAGTGCACTGAAGAAACCAGTTGTAGACTGTGTCATCTCTGTAAGTATTCCTGCAGACAACAGTTTCACGGCTTGAACAGGGTGTTTGAAAATCTATAGATTATTCAGGGCTGTGCATTAATTTTCTTGTGCAAATCTGCCTGCATATTTAGCTTTATGGACATGGACTTCTTTTAGGCTTATTTTCTGGCAACATAGCTAATCTAATTACCTTTAAGGTTTAAGGAGGTGCTATTTTACTTGTCAGATCCCTCCACACAGTTTATTTAAAGATGTAGTGTTGCACTGTCAAGGTTTCAAAAGGCCTGTGACTCACTTACCGCGCTTTACTGCCATTCTTTCTACTTAAGTGGACTGTTGCATTGCATTTACCTCCTGTTATTTTGAGTGACATCGTAATGTCACCCTCTTGCATTTTTAAGCAGTTTGAGTAAAAAGAAAAAAAACATGGCCGGTGAAAATTGCCTCCAGGGTATATAAATGTGTTACCACCTGTTCATGTGATATGTTGAGCTCTGTGCATGTCACCAGATGTCTTGTCTGAAAGCTTTATTTCCTATCTTCCACCTTGTTGGTGAAGAGTGGGAATTGTCTTCTTGCTGTGCTCACTATATGAATTCAGCAACAACATCTGTTGCATAATGTTACAGCTCTAACACTGAGAGGCTGTTAGTGTCCCTGGTCCTAAATCTGAAGTTTACATCAGCCCTGGAGATGAATAACTTGTTATTATTACTGTGGGCCGTAGCTAAATTTAACTACTGGACACAGAGATGATTTTGTTTTGGCACCACTGTAACGTTAACCAGACACCATGTGATGCAGAAATCACCTTAGTGTTCAGAGTGATCATTTACATATGGCAGAAGTAATAAAACCTTTGTATTAGGACATATTTGGTAGAAAAACCATTATTTTATTATTGACTCCGGTCAAAAGAAACATTCTGAGACTGTGGACACAAGTTATCTTCACTCATTAAAACTCACTTTATATTAATGCAGCATTTGTTTTCCCTCACAGGTCCCGAGCTATTTCACTGATGCAGAGAGGAGGTCTGTCATTGATGCAGCTCAGATCGCAGGCCTAAACTGTCTACGACTGATGAATGAGACCACTGCAGGTACATAGAAGCACAGTATATTTTATTAGTCCTTTTTTTTTTTTTTTTTTTTAAGAAACTGTGCTCTGAAATAACATTAGGTTGTGTTACATTGTTGATTTTCTTCTGGACCATCGCCTTTGTTGCAAACGCTATGAAAAAAGGAGTTGCAAACTTCCAGCTATTTTTATAACAAAACGTGGTTCATAAGTTATTGCTGAGTGGAAGTTTGAGCGTTATAGGTGTAAATCTAAGTGAATGCCACATTGGTGCTTTAGCATATTTTCATAAACGTCTCATATTTAAGTTGGTAACTTTCCCACCAGATACAATGAAACAGATGTCATAAAGCTAGATGTACATTCTATTTTGTTCTATTCCTGTTAGAAGTAGATCAGCATAGTGCATTTGAAATGAGAGCACAAACTGACACTATTGTGCTTGTTTGTTGCAGTGACTTTAGCGTATGGTATCTACAAGCAGGATCTGCCTGCTCCAGAAGAGAAGCCCAGGATAGTGGTGTTTGTGGACCTGGGCCACTCCAGTTACCAGGTGTCAGTGTGTGCCTTCAACAAGGGAAAGCTCAAAGTGAGTCATGAATAATTTATGGTCTTTTTGAAAAGCAATACTGAAGAGGAAAATATTTTTGGGGAAGGCTATGAGGATGCATTATACTGTAGGTTCTTATCAGGTTTGACAAAGAGTTGTTTTTTTTATATGGGCACAGACAGAAAACAGAGTAGTGCTACCTAGCAGTGGTTTATAATTACTTATGTAAAGAACACAGAAGCCCATAGGTAAAGAACATTCAATCAGAAGATGTAACCATGTGTTGTTTATATTATTACTTGTTAAGAATGTGTTTTCCCCTTATGTGGGATTCCTTGCAATCAAAGTACTAGAAATACACACAGAAACACTGTTCAAATGTGGTAAATTTGTCAATTAATAAAACACAGAGTAACTTAACCTGATGTATTTTTTTTATTGATACCCAATTTAACTCAGTGTTGGTGGAATGAAATATAGTGTATGTATTAAATAGATATAAATTATTAACTGATCCATGGCCTCAGGTTCTAGACATACAGATATGCAGTGGTATACTGTAGTATGGCAAAGATTTATCGCACTATTTACCCAGTAGTTTAATAATTTTCAGTTGCTTCCAACACTCCCCTCTTCTCTCCCTCCATCAGATCCTGGCTACAGCATTTGATTCAGGTCTTGGTGGGAAAGACTTCGATGATATCCTGGTCAACCACTTCTGCGAGGAGTTTGGGAAGAAGTACAAGCTGGATGTCAAGTCTAAGCCCCGGGCTCTCATGCGGCTCTACCAGGAGTGTGAGAAGCTCAAGAAGCTGATGAGTGCCAACTCCTCTGACCTGCCTCTCAACATTGAGTGCTTCATGAACGACATCGACGTTTCCAGTAAACTTCACAGGTGAGCTGCAAAGTTACTTCAGTATTTTCAGAGGTCAGAGCCTTTTATGCAACAGCGGGCATCTTCAAGAAGATTGCTGGAACAAAAATTGCTGGAGTGTTTAAGAAACACTATAATCTATGGCTGGTTTGTGCTAATGTTACTTTAGATTAACAAGTGAAAATAAAGCTACTTTTCTGTTTATTGATTATGTAGATGTTTGTGTTTCAAGAGTGTTATAGTTGAAGGGAAATGAAAAATTGTGTTGCTATAATGAGAAATGACTTGTAGAAACAGAATTCATCTGTCTGCCTCACAGCCATGCCATCTCTGTTCATGTGGGTTTTCCCTGTGTGTGTATGTCTGACTCTATTAATAATCTATGACTGTGTGTGTCCCCAGAGGTCAGTTTGAGGAGATGTGTGCAGAGCTGCTGGCCAAAGTAGAGGCTCCCCTGCGCAGTGTCATGGAACAAGCCAGTGAGTACATGTGGCGTTAATAGCAGCTGGTCTGTCATAAACACGTGCACACTCATATAGACAAGTTTCAGTCGTGTTGTGCTGAAATAGTGCTTCCCTCTGGACGCTGGCAGCACTCCTGGCTTCATTTAATCATTCCTCAGCCAAAGCAGTGAGAGGTACTGACATTTGAATTTTGTGTCAGTTCAAATGTGATTTTTGGAAAATGACTGCCCTAGTGTATACACAGGTTTTCTCTATTAAAACTCATTTAAGGTTCAGTCAACTAATTGAACACTGCCATTGTTACTCATGGAAGAGTTTTGGAAAGTGAAGTTGTGGCTCTCTACACTTACCATCCTCACCTCATGTCATCCTCATCTCCTGCTTCCTGCATCCAGAGCTCAAAAAAGAAGACATCTATGCAGTGGAGATTGTTGGTGGTGCCTCCAGAATCCCTGCCATAAAAGAACGAATCAGTAAATTCTTTGGCAAAGAGCTGAGCACCACCCTGAACGCAGATGAGGCTGTGGCCAGAGGCTGCGCGCTGCAGGTACAGCTCACCTGTCACGACAAATGCAAACCAAATCTTTTTGTTTTTTGCTGTCAATAAGAATAAGAAAACAACTTCAAGACAAAACCTAGAGCTTTGGTAACATTCATTTTGTTTTTGTTTTTTCTCCTCTTCTCAGTGTGCTATCTTGTCACCAGCTTTCAAAGTCAGAGAGTTCTCCATTACAGATGTTGTTCCCTATTCCATCTCCATAAAATGGAATTCAGCTGCAGAGGAGGGCCTGAGGTATGGTTTCTGTCAATGTCACCTGAGAACCCCTATAAGGAAATGCAGTAAGACCTCGTTTTCCTTAGTATTTGGATTTGACAGAGAGAAGAGAGAACATGATATTTTTTCTGGAAAATCAGACTGTACATATAAATATCAGTGCATGTGTTGTCATTTAGAATTGGACAGTCCAGCTAGCCGATAACTGGGCTTGTGAGCCAGGCCTTGCCCCATTCACACTAGTAATGGCAGTTTCCATATCCATATGGAACTCTGATCAAAGTTGTAAGATCCAGTTTCTGTAATGTTGGTTGTCTCATTGACCTCCTGCTGTTCCCCATCCCCCAAAACAGTGATTGTGAAGTTTTCCCAAAGAACCACGCAGCTCCCTTCTCCAAAGTTTTGACCTTTTACCGGAAAGAGCCCTTCACCCTTGAAGCTTACTACAGCAATCCCAAGGAGCTACCCTACCCCAACACCACTATAGGTACTGCAAGTCACCTTCCATAGGATTTCATTACTTGTGGCATATAAGTGGACAAAAGCATTATGGAATTTACTTTGGTAATTACTAAGGTGTAATGAAAAAGCTGTACAGATAGAACAGAAAAATAGTTTCTGAAAATCTTTAGTATTAGTATTTATTCTTTTAAGTCTAAAATGTGCCAATTCTGCATAAATTAGAGAGTTAATGTGCAACTTTATCATATGCTCCTACTCCATATGGCTCCTAGTTTTGAATTGTTGTAGCTACTTTCCAGACAGAATGATGCTAGCCTTTAAATATGTTTACAGTAATCAACCAACTTTGTTCAGCTTGTAGTCACAAAATGTTTTACATTAAGTTGACTGCTACATGTTAATTGAAACCACTAAATAATTTCTTTACTTGGCTTCCTGAACATTTATATTATTTTTAATCTAATGTATTCGGCTTCTACACCCTTCCTCACTGATTAAAATCCTAGATACCCTCACCTACTGCATTCTAACCGTGGGTTCCTTCCTTCACCCTGCAGGCCAGTTCCTGATCCAGAATGTGGTTCCTCAGGCATCCGGGGAGAGTGCAAAGGTCAAGGTTAAAGTTCGGGTCAACGTTCATGGTGTGTTCAGTGTTTCGAGCGCATCCCTTGTAGAAGTCATAAAAACTGGGGAGGGTGAGGAGCCGATGGAGATGGACCCGACAGTGAAGGAAGAGGAGGTGTGTACTTTGTCTAAACACTGGTTGTGAGACTAATGACATACTGTGTGTATGTGTCTGAGAAAGAGGCAAGGCACAGATTCCTGTTTGTTTTGTTTCACCTCACAGATCCCTTTCACACAGTACGTCAGTCTGGCCAAACCTTGGTTTTTAATAATCACTATGGCATTTACAAGTCTTGCCTTAACAAGCCTAAGATGGCTTCAACCAGTTGTATTTATTTCTCTCTTTGCAAATGTAATAGGTTTTTAAAAAAAATCCAGGAGGTTTCAATTCCGTTGGCATTAGGTCATAGCTCGAGCAAGGCTCCAACAGAGTCAGAATGATTTGCACAAACTCAGTGATTCACATCTCGATCAGTGCAACAACTTCTTTCAAGTACATATTTGTTGATTCTCGGTGATAATGGTATTTGTCTCATGTTCACATTATCTGATCACAGAGTTTGGCTAAGAAAAGTGCCACAAAATGGCACATATAATATCATTTTTCTTTGTGTCCGTTCTTTTGCCATGTGTCAGAACAAAATGCAAGTGGACCAGGACGATCAGAAACATGAAGTCGGAAGCAGCGGAGACAAGAAATCAGAGATTGAGGAGATGGAGGTAACCTTGTGCTGGGCGATACGGCAAACTTTACTCAGTACTTTTGATACAGCAGAATTCCACATCTTTCTACAAAGTGCTGGACAAGTCGCAACCCAAAAAGCCAGTCAAGTTTGAAAGGAGCTATGGTGTGTGGGAAGAGGTCAGGAACAATAGAGAAAGCAAATATAGATATAGCCTTATGTAAAATGAAAATACAGTCATCTTTTTTTAATGACCCGGCGATATGAACTGCCGATAACACACAAACTACAAATCCCATAATGCAGCACAACAGCTGCCTTACCGAACGATAGGCTACCTGCCATCATTCCCACGTCAATTACGTCAGATCAATCAAGCGTCTGTTGATGTATACAACCCTAATTTCAAGTCAAAACTAGCCCCTAACATTGGCCAAGAGAAAAGTTGATTCTGAAAACAGAGCCTTTCAAAACCGGTGGGAGGCTGAGTATATGTTTACTGACATTGCCAGTAAACCAGTGTGTCTTATCTGTGGAGCTAATGTGGCTGTAATTAAGGAATATAACCTAAGACGGCAGTACGAGACAAAACATCAGGACAAGCTGAAAAACGTGAATGCTACAGAAGGTAGAGGAGTTGAAGAGGAATCTGACATCACAGCAGACGTTTTCACCAAAGCCAAATCACACAGCGAAGCTGCTGTGGAAGCAAGTTTTATTGCGGCAGAGGAGAAAATCAGCCCGGACATTTACCGAGGGAGAGTTTCTGAAGAGCTGCATGATAAAAGTGTGCGACGTCTTGTGTCCAGACAAAAAGAAGGTGTTTGCAAATGTAAGCCTTAGCAGAAATTTGGCTGCTGATTTTAGGTTCAAGTTTATTTTGGACTAAAATTGTATCCTGTCTGTTTCAATTCACATTCATGTTCAAAAAACATTTAGTTTTAGTCTGTTCAATAAATTTTTATCCTGTTCGGTCCGCGACCTAAAGTGTGCTTTGAGTTTTGGCCCCCTGTGCGATTGAGTTTCACACCCCTGATGTAAGGTGTCAGAATAACACAAGTGATATTAGCATAGCTCACAGCATGATAAGATGCCTTTGTGGTTTACATCTGAAGGCTTGAGAGCCTCTTCATCTCCAGTTCCTCTCAGCCCAGTAGTTCCAACATGGGCTGAGGCAGCGGTGTGTTGATCCCAGAGACCCCACTGCTGCTCTCTTGCAGTGACTGGCTCTGTGGTGCTGCTGCTAATGCTAGTGTTAACGTTAGCTGTTAACTGCTTCAGCATTAGCAATGTTGTTTTTGTTTATGTTCTCAGAAATGGTAAAAATCACTTCTTTTTTTTTTTTTTTTACTTTTTTTGAAATAATTACATTACTTGGTGAAAAAAGCGGGTCATGATCATAATAAACACAGTTACTTTGGCATGACATGGAAATTGCTATGATGACATTTGTCGGCCATATTACCCAGCACTAAGGTGGCCATTGCATTGAGTATACTAATTGTGATATTGACGTGTTTCACACTGAGTGATTAGCATTTGCCAAGGGATATTGTTGTAAAGTATTGTCTCACACACACATTATAGTGACATTTCATTCAAATGTGTGTTTTTTTGCCTTAGTGAATTTAAGGGTAATTTATACCAAAGCATTTAAATAGAACAGTGACTGTTGAAATTTTCACACCTACCGAATGACAAGTGAGGCACAATAGAAGGTATTTGGAGTCTGCACTAAATTTGTTTTCACACAAAAAAGCATAAAAACATTCATCAGTGACCCGCTGACAGTTTAAACTGACTGCCACCGCAGTTAAAAATCAGAATAAACAAAAAGGTAGAAATGTTTTGAACTTTTAAACTAAAAGGTGGACCTTGACAGTGGAAGGCACTCTAACATATAAGGCTTTGTTACAAAGGGTTTTTTTTTTTTTGTTTGTTTTGAAAATAAGAATATTTAGATTGACTGCCATCACCTCGAGCAACTTGGGGTTCAGTGTCTTGCTCGAGGATGCTTCAACATATGGACTGGATAAATCAGGAGTTGAGCTGCCAACCTTCCTGGTTGGGAAACAAACCGCTCTACCTCCTGAGGAACGACTGCCTACTTGGTCCTCACTTAAATTTTTGAAATGTGCTTTAGGTATGTCAGACTTGTTTTTCCCAATAGTATTTGCACAGACTTAAATCATTTCCTTCTCTCCTTTTTCAGACAACAACAGAAGACACCAAGCAGGAGAAGAAGAATGATCAGCCCCCTCAGGCGAAAAAGCCCAAAGTGAAAACGAAGACAGTGGAGCTGCCCATAGAGAACAATTTGCACTGGCAGCTGTCCAGTGAAGTACTAAATATGTTTGTGGAGAATGAGGTAATGCTCTAAAAAATCACCAGGAATGTCTAGCATGCTCATACAGTGTTTGTCAATGCAATGTCCTAGTAAGACTTATTGGTCCTTGTTTCATTTACTTTTTATTGAAAACAAAGATAATGGCTGTTGCTAAGAATCTTAATCTTGAAGGCTTTTTCAGCAGGTTTTAATTGTTCTCATTATGTTGCGTATCTTGTGTCTGCCTTGGGTCACCCTCAAGTAGTTTGATTTTGTCTTCAGTTTATTTGTGTGTACACTTCAGGTGACTGAACAGCCTGTGACTTTTCCAGGGTAAGATGATAATGCAGGACAAGCTGGAGAAGGAGAGGAATGATGCAAAGAACAATGTTGAAGAGTATGTGTACGACATGAGAGACAAACTGCACGGAGTCCTGGAGAAGTTTGTTAATGAAGCTGTAAGTGCAGATTGGACTGGAGTCCTCCAGGTGGCAGCACAACATGTTAACAGACTGATCTTTTCAGTAGAACTGAGCAGTGTAAAGTTGAACTCTGTGGGCTTAAACCTTAAATGGAGACATACTTCATGTGTTTCATGTTTTGTGCTGTTGATATTTGTAAAAGGTGAATTTTTTTTTAATCTAATCTGTTTTACTGTTTGTAGGACCGTGATGGATTCTCATTAAAACTGGAGGACACAGAGAACTGGCTGTATGAAGACGGAGAGGACCAACAGAAACAAGTTTACATTGACAAACTGGCTGAACTGAAAGTAACCATGCATAGACAGTTTTTACAGTTTTTGAAATGAGAGGACTGACTGACTTTGTTTTAAAAAGATGCTTAGCTAATCATCAATTTAGCTGCAGGTTTTGATTTTTGTGTATAGAATTAGCCATTTACAGTAAATATTTCTCCTTAGTCTTTTTTTTTTGTTTTTGTTTTGTCTAGCCGGATAACTGCCTGACTAAACCGCTTCTTGTTCCTTGCTACAGAAACTTGGCCAGCCTATTCATGAGAGGTACATGGAAGCTGAGGAGAGGCCAAAAGCATTTGAGGAGCTTGGCAGACAGATCCAGATGTACATGAAAATCATTGAAGCTTACAAGGCAAAGGTAACCTAACCTATTAAAGTGGTTGCTTAGCTAGATTTTGTTGGTGGTATATTAGAGCAGCAACTCTTACTGACTTTATTAGTTGTACTTCAGAGGGTTTGTAGGTGAAACATAAGTCTACAGAGGCAAGTGGTTCTTCACTGAACAACATGACCTTAATTGTGTCTAATTTGACATGTGCTTCCCCAACAGGATGAGCAGTATGATCACCTGGATGAGCTGGAGGTGACTCGAGTGGATAAGCAGGTGAATGATGCCATGGCCTGGATGAACAGCAAAATGAACCAGCAGAACAATCAGGACCTCACTCTGGACCCAGTGGTTAAAGTTGGGGAGATCAAGGCCAAGACTAAGGTACTGAGAGAGTTTTCAAAGCACACACAGACACTACATGTCAAAAAGGGGCTTCGTTCATAAGTGCTTTCTTTGACTTGAGCCAGCTCCAAGCCAAACTGTAATCACTGTGGTCTCACAGGCTTCAGTAGGAATTTAAATGGGTTTAGGGGTGTAGACCAAGATTACTTATCCACCAAATACTTATTTAAAGTAGTACAACTGTATTACTATACATTTTTAAACATGTACAAAGTAGAAAATGTTGACACCACATTGCCAGTGGTAGGACAACCACCGGCCTCAGACAAATCACTGCAACCTCTTACAGTCCTGTCACACATGTGGATGCAAAGTACTGTACCTTCCTGAGCACAAGTTGTAGTTAGTCGCAGGACCAGCCAAATAACTTAAAACAAACAAAAAAAAAACTTGGAAAATTTGGAAAAAATTGTAAATAAATAAATAAATTAGGAAAATGTGGTAGATGGTAGTGGCCTCTCATGACTCTGTAGTTCTGGGGCTGTATTATGTTGAGAAAATGAGGTACAAAATCTGGTTTGATTGGACAGTTGAACATATTGGTTGTTGAAAATTACATAACTTCATGTAAAACTCTGATCAAGTAAGAAAAAAATCATTTTTAGTCTTCTTCTAACAAATGTTTCCTTTTCCCTGTTAGGAGCTTTATTCAGCCTGCAACGCCGTGGTGTCCAAACCCAAGTCCAAGGTGGAGTCTCCTAAGGAAGAGAAGACAGAGAATGGGCCAGTAAATGGGCAGGAGCAAACAGAGAGCCAGCCATGCAACCCAGACAAAGCCGCATTCACAGGCACAGAACAGGAAACGGTGGAGAACAAGCTCCCTGAAATGAACATTGACTAACTGTTGCAGCTGCCACTCCTCTGAGTTTCACCTCCTCCTGTTCTGCTGATGCTCTTGTTCTCCTGAGATTGTTATTGATGACACAGTAGCCTCTATTGAAGACACAGACAGCATCATCCCTAATCAGTACTGCTCATCACTCTGCCTCCTTGGCATGTCAGTTAATTTCTTTCAGTACAGAAATATTGCTTAATATTAATATTAAATTGACTGCTTTATGGCATAAAGTTGTGAGCATGGGATGGAAACTGCTTTCTCCTGTTGCTTTGATGGCTGTTTTGTTAAATATTGTTTTTATTCAGCAGCTCCTGATCACATAAGAATAAGAGTCAGATTTGAACAATTGTAAGCGAAGTGATTCTGCAGAAGAAATCTAATAATGCACACTGGATTTGTATTGGAAGTGTAAAATATTGCAGTATATCTAAACAAGATATAGGTAGTGGCACTTGTAAACAAACATGGATTGTTCCAAGCTGTATATGACATAGTGCTTTTTTTTCACCACGAATGTTGTAACTGCTGGATTATGATGTATTTAGTTTAAAAAGGAGGGTTTTTTTTTTGTTGAGTTTACTTGTACTGTATGTAGATACCACAGGTTACTGTCATGCAGTACTTATTGTTTGGCTGTTCCCATTCAGAAGCAATGGCCTGTTGATTGTTCGCTGCTAGCCTTGTATTGTTTTTGTTTTTTCTACTTAACAGTGTGAATGCTGGCCCAACAAATCGCGTTCTCTGTGCTGCTGTTGTTGCCACTTCACCCAAAAAAAAGAGGCAAAAATAAATCTTTACAAAAAAGCATGTGATGTGATAAATGGTTTATTAATAAGGATTAGTTCTTGTTACTAGTAAAAACAGTGGTTATCACCTGCCTTCAGTTTTCAGAGAAGATTAATATAAGTTTCATATTGGTCATTGTTGTGAACACCGTGTTTTATTGTCACGAGTCGATCTCCTACTTTGTTGTTCAGCCCCATGACATGTTTTTGACAGCACAGATATGGTAGTTCTCAAGTAGTAACAGTAGTGTGTCCAGTTCCTTGCTCTATCCTGTTTTAGGACATTTTCATATTTTAATATACATAATACTGAAATGATACCCTGCTCCATAAGCAAAATATTTTCAAACAATCTTTGTCAATTCCAAGTTGTTAAATTATTAATTATACTTTAATATTGGGGATGATATTATTGATGCATTGGCTTGTGAACGATGTATCCGCCTGGTGGTTGAATAGAGCTAATGAACACATCTGCAAGTGGCCTGGGTTGCCAGGTTGACTTATTTCCGCCAGATTGGGATATTTTATTTTAATTATGCGGGTTATAGTTTGGGCTACTTCTTGTGTCATTAAGACGATTTCAACATACGAAAAGTTCCTATATTCCAGAGGTTTCAACTGAGGACGATGTGGACGAGGAGACATGAGGCAAAGATAGACGTGTGTGAGGTGACAGAGACAGGTGAATGCAGCTGTTGTGAAAACATCTGGAACACGCAGTGGTTTGGCTGCATATTATCGTAATTAGTGGCAGTCACTTAAAACTCATTAAAGCATTTAAGGCCCTTCCGTAGGCATTACACTAAGAGGATATCAATATCGCCGATACGGATAAACGTCCATAAATCCTCTAAAAACCCCCGAGGCTTTGCATAAAGTTATAACGTTTTTAGGTTTTTTATATTTTTAAAGTTATTCAGTGACACTTGTCGAGGAACCGGGAACCAGGTACTCTTGTATTTGTCAGTACACGCAATGACAAAAGGTACTTTCCTATCCAAAAAACTATTTTTTAAAACAGCTATTGGCCTGGTTGGGCAACTTGTTTTCAGTCAAATCTGGCAACACTGTTTCGACCGTCATGAAGTTGTCAGAGGGTAAATGTTATTAGTACGTGGGTCAGCTAAGGTAAGAAACGCGTTATTTTCACTTAGCATATGTGTGGTGGCAAGTTGTAGCTTTTGTTAGTAGTATGGAAGAATTAGTATTGAGTGGTGCTACCATAAAATAAAAACTTATGACCGAGTTCCGAGTGTAACTTTGCCATAGCCACTGTTTACTCCAGCTAGCAATGGCTAGTTAGCTTGAATGCTTTCCCCCAGTATTACCTAGTTACGTTTAAATATGTCCTGTGTGAGGTTTGTTAGTTTTCCCTGACTACAACAACACCCATTCTGCTTTAGTTTACTGTTGAAGTATCATTATATTACGGCCACGTTTAATAGAGATAAAGTTAACGTTACCTTATGCTAACTTTGGGACCACAGTATCGTTAAGCTAGCTAATGCAAGCTAATGTGTTGTCACAGCAAACCTGCGGTATACTGTGTTAGATCAAACAAGCAGTACACGAATCGTTAGTGGTATGTCAGAGTATAGCTGTCATATAATTCTGATAAACACGATTGTCGTTAGCTACAGCTGTCTCTGACGGTGTGATGTCTGCTAGTTGCGTTTGGCTTTGCTATATCTATATATTGCCTTTACAGTTTATTCTCTCTTGCGTACTTTGATAATGATGACCTTGTGTCACATATCAAAATTACAGGAATGTAAATGTCCGAGGACAGGGAAGCCCAGGATGATGAGCTGCTTGCCTTAGCAAGTATCTATGATGAGGAGGAGTTCCACCGAGCAGAGTCGGCCCCAGGGGGAGAGATCCAGCTCTGTCTGGAGCTCCCTCCTGATTTCAAAGTTGTTGTCAAAGGTACAGCAGTGTAAAGCAATAAGAGCAAGGTGTACAGCACGTTTGCAAGTCAGGTGTAGTAGATTTATGTCTATAATGTACAGTAGTGTGCAAAAGGTTAAATACTTTAGATGTTTAGACTTTTATCTATCACACATTACCATCAGGGAGGCATCTGATCTGACCTGATCAGATCCAGATTCAATCTGCAGCTTGAAAGCAACCCCAAACATTCAGAGTCATAAGAATTGTCTTCAACAACACAGAAGTATAAGTGTTGTGACAGCTTCTCAGAGAAGCTTGGAACAACCTGCCTGCCAAGTTCTTTGTAAAACTGCACCTAAACACTAGCGCAGTTTTAAAGGCATAAAGTGGTCGTACCAAATATTCATTTGATTTAGATTTTTTTTTTGCATTTATTGCAGTTGATTGAGAAAATAAAGCTATTCATGGCATTGTTTTTGTAAGCATCCTCTTTTTATAACATTTTCCACCAGTGCCTAAAGCTTTCACACAGAACTGTAGATGACTCAAGTTTATCTCTCTTAATCTTGCAACGACACATTTGATAGGCACAGTCTAATAAGGATTGTAATTGTTCTTTGTTGCAGGAGAGAAGCAAATAGATTATACTGTCTGCTTCTTACCTCCTTTGGTGCTCAACTTTGAGCTGCCTGTAGACTATCCATCCACATCCCCACCAGTCTTTACTCTCAGCTCTAAATGGATGACCAGAGCACAGGTAAGACTTGTGCGACCTTGGTTAGTCTGTAAAGATTTGGCATACTTTTGCTCTAAAAAAGATTTCTTATCCTTTTGTAAAATGGAATCACTGAAAGGACTGTTATTCTTCATCAGTGTCAAAACTTGTGCCTTCTCCTTTTCATTTTACCTGCACAGATGAGCTGTCTGTGCAGGCGCCTGGATGAGCTATGGGAGGAAAACCAGGGCTGTGTGATTCTTTTTACATGGATCCAGTTCCTCAAAGAGGAGGTTCTGGACTTTCTGGGCATCCAGTCTCCACTTGAAATTGTCAGGGGAGGAAGTAAGACTACTGGTGAGCGCAGGAAACCCAACCATGCAGCCACAGGTACAGTATGTATTTTCATAAATTAAAGGTTTGTGTGTGTGGATCTACATTGAGCTATTTGTAATGATGGAGCTGTGTGTAATGATGGCTAAGATACTACAGTAGCACTGAAGCCTAAACCCTTACTGAAGTATCTGTTGAGCACAGGTATTATGATGCTGGAGCTGCATGGATTGTGACAAAAGAGATTCGACTTATTTTTACAAAAATGTAAACTTGTCTGAAACAAGTGGTTGTAATTGTTTTTTTGACTGATTACTACATATTTCAAATGTTTAGCTCTGACACAGTGTGAGAGTCATTCTGAAAATACTGGAGAGAAGAGGAGAGAAGTAAAGAAGGAAAAGTATGAACCACATTTGTCATGCTCTTCTCAACTGGATCCGCGGACTGTGTTGTTGATGGACCCACGTGCCGACTTGCTACCTCAACTCCTGGACTTTGATGAGGCACAGCGCCAGAGGGTGTTTGACAGCAAGGTGTTCTGCTGTGGGATCTGCTTCATAGAAAAGCTGGGCTCCAACTGCCTCTGCTTTAAGGAGTGCCAGCATGTCTACTGCAAGGCCTGCATGACTGAATACTTCCAAATCCAAATACGCGATGGCAATGTTCAGTGCCTTAATTGCCCTGAGCCCAACTGTACTTCCTTAGCCACACCATTGCAGGTAAAAATGCTACACAGAATGTACAGTGTTTGTGTTTATTTACAATTCTAAAGTCACTTTACAACTGAAGTGCTCTCAGAAGATGCTCTCACTAAATTCACACACTGCAAATTCTAATTGACTTTTTGAAATTGCCAGAACCTGTCACTTCCTCTGCTTCTTCATCCTTCAGGTGAAACAGCTGGTGGATGAGGAGTTGTTTGCTCGCTATGACCGTTTGCTGCTCCAGTCCAGTCTGGACCTCATGGCGGACGTGGTGTATTGTCCCCGCAAGTCCTGTGGCACTGCCGTTATGGTAGAACCTGACACAACCATGGGCATTTGCTCTGTCTGCCAGTATGCTTTTTGCACACTGTGCAAGCTGGGCTATCATGGTCTTTCCAACTGTAAAATCACTGCAGGTACCTGCCCCCTTATAAAAGTAACAAAATAAGAGTAGTTTTGTTAGTGTTGTTACATAGCAGCGTAATTTATTGATACAGTCAGATGAAAACCTTGATTCTTTATCATATAAGTTTTTACAGTGTCAACCAAAGTGATATCCCAAAGAGGCTCCCAAAGAATGCAGCAGTCTGATCAACACACCAAACAATAAATAACAATAAATTAACACAACAAGCCACCAACACAATCCAATCGACCAAGGCCATAACAGTGACATTTTGGGATGTGTGAATTATTATTATTTTCAGGTGCTGTAATGGTGAAATATTAAATATGGTTAAAGGCCTAATTTAAGAAGAATAAATTGGTATCACGGTTTACCTAACCCAACCCCCAGTCCTCAGTGCTGTGGCTGTTTTCTCTCTTGTGCCACAGATGAATTGCGTAATCTCAGAGATGAGTACCTGTCAGCTACATCTGAGGAGCAAAAGTTCATGGAACAGCGCTTTGGGAAGAGGGTGATCCAGAAAGCAGTGGAAGAGTCCTTTAGTAGAGACTGGCTCAATGAGAACTGCAAATGTTGCCCACGCTGTGGAACCAATATACAGGTTGGTGTACAGTACAACAGGCTTTAATGTTATCACTTGGAGTCAGTGTTCAATGCTGTCAGTCTTAAATAGGAAACAAATAGATCATTTATTTTCATTACTAAATTTATACACTGAACCAGAGAAGGTATTCAGATGAACACAAATGCAGCTGTAACCTGTGTTTAATGTACAGTTGAAAAGTGACATAAGCCACACATAGTGCATGTCAAGTAATGAAAACTATAAGTGCTTCTGTTGAACTCCACTAACTCTTTTATTGTGTTATTATCTATTCTGTACAGTTGCTGAAGACGTATGTCCAGTCCCAGGCTATGTCAGTTACTACATTGTTAACTGATGTTTGTTGAGTCCTGTCCTGCTAATGCGTTGTCTTTTTTTCCTCTAGAAAGTAGATGGCTGTAACAAGATGACTTGTACCTCGTGTAGACAATACTTTTGTTGGCTGTGCCTGGGCCAACTCAGCAAAGTCAACCCCTACAGTCACTTTAACAACCCACATTCACCCTGTTACAACCAGTGAGTGATCTGTCTCTTTTCACTGATACTTATTCTCCATCTAGAAACACAGTGGATAAGTGTTCCTTTTCTTGCCTGTTGCAGACTCTTCCATGGGGTGGATCTTGATGAAGATGATGCCTTCTGGAGTGATGAGGAGGACTAACACCAGTGCAGCACCTTGCTGCTGTATGTTCCATTTGAGTGCACTTTAAATCCCAAACCTTCTCTTCACCTGTGAATCTCATTATGTCTGCATTAGTACAACAGTGCCACTATTATCATGCTACTGTTGTTTACATTTTGAGTTTGGTTAGGCATCTTGGGTGTAAAACATTCAGTGCCTGGGTATAAGTTGTTCATGTTTACTTAATATCCATTCAAGATAGGCAAGAACATTTTTAGCTTTTACATTATGTCAGAGAAACAGCACTAGTCATTTTGCTCATCTTAAATAAATCACTTGTTCTTGATTATGACCGTCCAGAACACACACATGGAGATGTGGGTACAGGTTGGGCAGCTTTTAAATATGACAGATGTCATAGGAATACATTCAAACTCCTGTAAAAATGTGTAACAATTTCCAGGGTTACAACAATCAAGAGTTCAAACTGGAGCTACTGACCATGCTTAGTTTTGTAAATTGGAAAAAGTGCTTGATTACAAATGGCTAGCAGCTGTCCCCTCTGAGTGATACAGGGAGTTTGTAATTGGCCTACTTTTTCATACAGTATTAAGTATCTAACCTCTGTCTAACTTTATGTTAATTGTCAATGTATGACATAGCTAACAAACATCAGTTAGATAATTATCTCTTAGCACAGCATTGATACGGGATTAAAACTGGACATAACTCCACAGTAAAGGTGGGGTTGTTTTCCCAGTTTCAGACTGTTTAGTTTGATGACCAGAATGGGAAACCCTTATCTCCCCAAGACAAACACGGTGTACTATGTACAGAGTGCACTCTCTGGGTTATGTTTTCAGGTCATTTCTGGCCAGGATGCATGTTTTGTTTTGTTTAATTTTTTTCTTATCTGAAAATTATGTTTAGGTTTGATTTTATTTAGATGAGCTCACTTACAGAAATATTGGTATTTGTACATCATACAGTAAGTCAGTCAGGTTGCAAAGAGAATTGGTTGGGGTGAGCGGCTTCATTATTTAAGTCGCATGTATTTGTCCATACAGAATGTAATAATGGAGAGCCCTACAATTAATATTCATCGCTGTAGATCGTGTGATAGGGTATACGGGGGGTTGGGGCAACAAGTCATTCAGGGACTAGTGTAAACAGCCAAGACATTCAGAATGATTTTGACCAGAATTATTCTCACCCTCCTTTGAACACTAATTTTAATGTTGCCAAAATACTAGTGCCAGAGAGCGGCCATGGGATTTTGATTTGTCTTTATACAAAAATAGTTTTGTATAATGGTATCTTTTTTTAACATTTGATCTGAATGGAGACTGTCATGCACTTATTTCTGTTTGAAATTGAACCCAGCATCACATCTGTTCTTTTTCAGCACTGAATGTTTTACCCCACACACTGATTCAAAAGAGAAGAATAGTTTCAGAGTAGATGCTGTTCCGCTCTGTTTAAGAAGTCGATCTCATGTTCAGTCATGAATTCAGTTTCCCATCAGTGTTGACCTGATGTCAGTTCTCATCTTGTGTAGGAAACGTTTCAATACAGGACCTGCAGAATGATGGTAAAATGCCTTTCGCATATTGTTCCTCAAATTAAAAGTTACCAAATTAAAATTTTAATTATTATTCATTGGGTATATTTCAGTTCTACAATAATTCTTCCCTGACCACACACACGTATGGATGCACAGCTATGCAGTGAGCTAAACACATTAAATTTAAAAGTTGATCATAGTAATTTCTTCTTTTTACTGGAACCATTGTGAAACTAAAGTACTACTGGACAACAGATTCAATGCTAGCCATTACAAACCACAAGATGAGAGTCAGTAAACTATAGCTAGGCTTGTGTTGTACACACAATTTAGTAAGAGAGAAAGTGGATTCAAAGAAGTATCGAGTAGCTACCAGGTTAGTTGCATGGTCAATCATGCCACGGAGAAACACATTGTCAGCAGTGAAAAAGTACTCTAAATGTACACACAATAAAAGACAAATACAACTTGTATCATTTACTCAGTGTCAACAGTTTGATTAAAAAATTTGTTCTTAAGTATACAGTCCTCTGTGACATCTTGTTACCTGGAACATGACTCATATTTACCCTGTAATCCATAGGATATGCTGTGATGGGGAAACAATGAAATTCTAAAGAAACAAAGAGCCCACGTTTTAGCCTGAGACTGAAAAGAGATGATAACGTGGTGTAATCCCTTTGGCCAGAGTTGCTGACAGGGAGATAACCCTTTAAAATGCCCCCTCTCTCCGGTCCTGTCACACCACAAGCCTCATGTTCTATGTTCGCTTACCCCTCCCCCTACACGCACACACACACTCCACTCCCAGCCCCTGCCTGTCTTTTTCATTCACACTGAAGGACTGGACTGGTTACTAAGCCTGTAAAGACACCTGCTCTCACCAACACATGACCAGCACTGAGATTATCTCTTTACCCATCACCATTCTTTCATCACCTAGTCATACAAACAGGACAAGACTCAAAAGAAAAAGGTCAGTGGATTTTGACATGGTGCATGGTGGGATTTGGCCTGGTGTTTGGATTTGTGAGTTAAGTCCATCTTTATTAGGGGTTAGCAAATATGGATGAATGAAGTTTGCCATGATTCATTATCACTGCTGTCACCACAAGACACCAGAGATGGCTATAAAACATGCTGCAAATGTATATATTTTTAAACAATCCTACAAAAAAATACAAATTCACCAATGTGAATAAGTTTTATAACCATGGTTCCAGCTCTACCAAGCTCTTCAGTCAAAGACACAGCCTCACAGGATTTAAAGGTACAAAATTGCTAGTAATCTAATAAGAAATGAAACTATGAGTTAACTAACCGCTTTAAAATATATCATTGGTTTAAAACTGAAAAAAAGCTGTCTATTAATCAGCCACTGACATCTACTTATTAGCGGCCATAATTAGACTCATTGCCAGATGTGTGTGTCTGCTGTGACACACTGACACAAAACCATTGTTTGTACCTGTATCTTCACCACCAGAAAGTTATTAAAATTAAATTCTTAACATTTATATTTTGAATATAATTTAATAATTTTCACTTTAAAACATTTTACTTCAGATGTTCCTAGATGAAAACTGAGTTTAACACTCACGTGAAAACTCAATATTCACCTAAAAATATTTAAAGTAAAAAAACAATAATAGCACTAACTTAGGGTAAAATTATTTGAGCAGCGTAAAAGCCAAAGAAGGTTTAGCATCACTAAAAATGCGTACTATCTTCCTCCATAATGTAGTGAACTACAGATAAAATATTAGGTACCTGAAAGAAATTCTTAACAGAGTAAATGTACTTGAGCTACTGCACACCACTGAAGCCCCTGAAGTCAAACCTCCAGATTTTTGTCCAAAGTAATGTTCCTGTCCAGTTAGAGACCTGCTGAGACTAAACCATCCATAGTATCTACTGCGGGACCCAGAACACAACAGAGGGGTCATACCATGATAGAGAGTGACAAAGAGCTGTCGGCCAAGGTCCAGGAGCTATGGGACAACGATATCAACAGACTCCAACCTGGAATTGATTACAGGATCTCTCTGCAGGTGCATCACACACACATGCACACTTTTACTTGCCTAACCTTAACCCTTAACCTAACATTTAACCAAAGCCTATACTTGCCCTTACCTTACACCCCATTGTTTTCATAAAATTAGGCAAACTATGTTGTGGGGACCAGTCTCCGGTCCCCACAAGTGACTTCCAGTCCCCACAAAGATAGTAACTCATGGATGGCTGTCACTGACATTGTCTTCTTTATTAAGACAACATATCAAGATGAGCTGTAAAGACAAATCCACAAGTTTGTTTGTTTTGATTCTTGGTAGCTGTTCAAGATGTTTTTGATTTTATTTTAGTTCATTCATCTTGAAAAATTAGCTCTGATTGAAGCCAAAATGTCACTGGAAGCCTACAAGAGCTGCATATTTAGATTTTATGGGAATACAGAAAGCAGCTGGCCAACATAAGCTAGTTGCACAAGTCAAATTTGAAAGTTTGAGTGATTCTCTGCCTGTTGCAGGGGAAAGCTGGAGACAGCATGGCCATCAACGACAGCAACGATATAGCAGGATATCCTCTGTTTACATTTGTTGATGAGAACATTTTCAAAAAAGAGACTTTTTCAGGTAAGTACACAAGAGTGGAGAATGTTTTTAGGAATACTACACAAAATCATGATCATTTGACTTAACTTTAGTCAAGCGTGAGATGTCTTTATTTGATGCTTTAGTGTTTTCATGTTTCTGTGGGATGAGGCAGCCTACAGCTGGATTATTAATATTATGTAGCGTCAGCCTGTTACTGCCTGTTGCACAAATGCAACGTCAGAAAATGTTTGAATTGACATGCGCTTCACACATTCCACTGTGCCGTTTGTCAGTTTGATGCCTCATCTGTCTGAGACTGAGCAAAATCACATTTTGAAGAGTGCCTGCACTTGTTTGTACAGCCTTTATCTCCCTGTTGGACAACTATGAGAGTGACACTGGAGAGCCTGAAATTGTAACCCCTGAGGAGGAGGCAGAGAACCACAAGTTCCTTGATGCCATCATTCAGACTCCTGTTATGAAGGTACCTGTGGGGACTTTTGGATATAAACCCTTCTCATCTTCCTGTGCCTCATGAAGGCCAATTTCTACTAAAGGATTCATGAGAGGCAATTAGGAGTTGCTCAGTTATTTAAATATTCATATAATATACTTAAACCAACTGTTACAATTATGAGTACAATTACTTTTATTACTCATAACTATATTTAATTGGTTCTGGTCCAACTGCCAAACAAAGATAACACTGCAACAAGTGCAGAACTGGAATGCAGATCCAAAAACAGTTTTGCTTCCAAGTTTTCAATGTACATGATGATAAAGAGGGCTGGGGCAAGTGATCCTAATTCAGTTATAAGCAGTCTAAAATATAATGTTAGACAAGCTTTTATAAGGAACTCCTGTTTGTTTGTAGATAGCTCATAAATACCTGGTAGAGAAGCACCTCTCTCCTGAAGACGAGGCACAGTTCAAGGAGCAGCTGTACAGGATCTGGTTTGAACTTTATGCCAGGAGAGGATCTAGCAGGTGGGTGGACTCTGACACAGCACCTACTGTAAATATTACCTCACCAGTGGAATCTAAGACTATGATTTTAACTGTCTTACTCTGTGTAGCATT